TGATTGTATCGTGTCTCGCCGCGACGGGCTCCGGGCTGGTGCGAATACATGCGGTCGGGGTAAAAGCCGCCACCGTTGTTTGCGTCTTGAAGCGAGTTCTGGTAGGGATAGTACGAGCGGCCGCCTGGAAACATGATGTTGAGCGGGTTTTGGCGGATATGTGTGTGGGTTTTGGTGCTTAGACGTTTAGGGCTGGCTGCGATTGCTTTGTGTATCAAGTGGAAGCTGAAAAGTACTAGTAATTGTTCTGTTAGATGCTGCTGTGCTTGGTATGATGGATAAGAGAAAGGAGAGGCAGAACCTCGGGGATTTATATACGAGGACTGGATTGATGAATAGTTGACTGCGACAGCCAGACATGGACTCGATGCGTATTCCGTGTGACTTGATGTCTGGTGCGTGAGTTGGCACAGATGTTGCCGAAAGTCTACAAGGCCACATATTGTATAAAGTGATCGTGGGTCGTGGGAATCTTGGTCGCTGTCCCGATGTTATTGAATTCAGCGACATCCGTAATGCCACCTCTCTTCACCTCGCGCTCCCTGACAGTGCCTCAAGCTGACACCCACCCCCTGCCACGTCTTTTCCTGGTAGACGTATGCTTAAATATACCCCCGAGTCGTGATGCACTGTAACATGCTTTCGTGTCGATGGGCCGTTGGTGTGGAATGATTATCGCGGCAAACTGGTTTGAAGAGACGCGCCGCTATGGCAAACGGTATTTGGGTAGCTGATGTGGTGCGACAGCCCCTCCAGTGTGGTCACTCTCGATAGACTCAATACTGTCCATGCGAAGCAGAGAATTGCATCGGATTCTATGCTCAATGGCCGGTTGTCGAAACATCTCGGAGCCTCGAAATTCCTCAAGCTGGCAATTGTTCGCCGACGCGTCGTCTACGTCATCGCTGAGCGCACCACGCGTTGAATCCGTTAGCCTAGAGGCCACCAGCCACCACAATTCCCTCAGCATGTCAAACCCTAGGCGATGTCAACAGATTGCATGCGCGTTTTCGACATTTCCACCCCCCGGTCGCGGATCATGAGGATTGCAACAGAGTGTCTAGAAACCGAGTCCAATGACGATAATCTGCAGCTCCGAGGTCTGCAGCTCCATGCCCCCTGGTAGGGCTCTTGGGGCAGGCGGGAGACGGCAAGCGTACCGAAACGGAGGACATCCGTACGAGCATGCCAATCAACGCATCGATCGCGCGCATATTGAGCCATGCTCACGAAGAGCTTCGCTTATCGTGAACTTCTGCAAGATGCTGACATGCAGCGAGAATTTTCAACGGCGTGCAACCTTGGGCTTTGTGCCACGGTCGACATCAGCCTCCAGCGACGGTGACATCTTTCCCGACCGCTCATACTTTTCGAACCACGGACAACATTCAAAATGAGATGTCCGGGGATCTTTTTGGCGCTTGCGCTCCTTGTCGCTGGATCAGGCGCTGAGCCGATACCGCGGGCTGTGAAAGCACCCAGGGTTGATCTGGGCTACGCTGTCTATGAGGGGAGTTATGATTCCAATACCGGCCTTAATATCTTCAAAAGGTAATTTTCAGTCTGAGATCTCCTAATTCCTCCAAGAGCTGACCTTGCGCGGCAGTGTTCGGTATGCAGCGCCACCACTCGGCAACCTCAGGTTCGCCGCTCCTCAAGCCCCTGTGCGAAACAGAACGATAGCATCAGCTTTGAGCGATCCACCAGCTTGTCCGCAGACTGGCGCCTCTTCACAGACCCCAGCGGCTTACGGCTTCACCTCCGCCATCGGAAACGAGGATTGCTTGTTCTTGAACATATACGCGCCGGCTCACGCGAAGAACCTGCCTGTCTTCTTCTGGGTTCGTGAGTCATTTTCCAAGCAATGCACAAAACGCAGGGGATCTCGCTAACAGTATCAAGATGGTGGAGGTTACGGGCTATTCAGCGCCTCTGGGCTAGACCCCAGCGAATTTATGGCCACCAACAAGAATGGCTTCATTAGCGTCATAATTCAGTACCGCCTAGGCGCTTTCGGGTTTCTCTCGAGTCCAGAGGTGAAGCAGCATGGTGCGCTTAACGCTGGGCTCCTTGACATGAACTTCGCATTGAAGTGGGCACAAGCTAACATCGCCAAGTTTGGGGGCGATCCTAGCAAGGTCACTATTGCAGGCGAGAGTGCAGGAGCAGGCGCTGTTCTCTATCAATCTCAAGCATACGGTGGGCGGCAGAAAGAAGACCTCTTCCGTAATGTTATCACAGCGAGTCCATGGGTACCCTATCAGCACGATTATGACGATGAACAACCCGCAGAAGCCTATGCGGCGTTCCTTGAAGCATCCGGCTGCTCAACAACGAAGGAAAGTATGGATTGCCTCCGCGCAGCGGATACCATCGTTCTTCAGAATGCTAGCGCCAGAGTTTCGGAAGCTGGCCCTTTCGGTACCTTCGCTTTCTTGCCAGTAACAGACGGTACATTTGTCCTGGACCGCCTCTCCACAACCCTTGCTTCAAAGTCGCTAAAAGGAAAGCGCGTCTTATCGGGTAACATGGCAAACGAAGGCGTGCCACTTTCGCCTCCCACGGCGCGCACGCTGCAGGATTTCCGAGACTACATTGATCTGACATTTCCCGACTTCTCTGCATCCCACAAAGCCCGACTGGAAGAAACATACTCATTTCCTGGGGATGACCTTGACGTGAAGCCCAATGCTACGCGCTTCGCTACATCTGGTACTGGTCTACCCACGGCACTCAACATGAGTGAATTTGGGACAGGAAATCAACAACGTCTCTTGAATGTTTTTGCAGAGTACGCCTTCGTCTGTCCCAGCTACTGGGCTGCTGGAGCTTTTACAGAGGGCTGGAAGTATCAGTTTAGTGCACCTCCAAGTTATCATGGCTATGATCTGCAAGCGCTATGGAGCGGAACTCCAACGCCCGGCAAAAGCTTCAAGCACGCTTTCCGTAGGATTTGGGGCAATTTCATCACAAAGAACTCGCCGGTGATAAGCTTGGACGACGCAAAGGGTGGTGACGCAAACTCGACGATCCCGCCTGCGATTGGGTATGGTGCGAGTGACATTTCTTGGCCAAAGTGGAACAAAAACCAGCCGGTACTATTGAATATGAACGCTACAGGCGGCATCCCTTCCTTCGTGCAAGCGGCAGACGACCTTTACTACTACATTTACAGCGATCCGGGGGTCAGCAACCAGATCAGTTTGGCCGATGCAAATGCATGGGAGGGCGGAAGGGGCGGGCGATGTGAGTTTTGGAAAGCTATGGCAAGCAAAGTACCATATTGACAGGTGGAGGCGTGTATGGGCTTGAATGTCTGAGGAATGATGATTGTGAACTACGCTATATCGCAACTACAATCCCAGTCGCTTGTCCATCGCGGCCAAAGATATACCCAAAATTGACCCGCTTACACACCGTCGTTGAACTCGTAGTCTTTGTCCCATCGCTATGCTGGTCAACAACATGTAAATTTATGTGTTCACATTGTACTTACAGTGTCCCAAGACTTGCTGCCATCGACGAATCTCAGATCAGTACCAACTCTAATCACGTTATTTGGATCGTGATTCATGGTGGATGCGTGTATCTGACTACTGTTAGCCAAGATATACGTCAGCTCAAACTGAAGGGTACCAACCGCAAACGGGTTGTGGAGGACTACGTCGCCCGCTTCGTAGTTTGTGACCAACCAACGCCTGTCAAAGGTGTCGGAATACTCTCGTGGACCGTCAGCGAGCAGCCCTGTTGATAGCATGTTCTGGTTGAAAGCGTTCTTCGTTTCTTCGTCGCTCAATCCACTTTCCGCTGCCTTTCGGTTAAAGTCTTCCTCTACTTCACGGCCAAGCGTATGACCTACCAGACTCGTTAACCTTGCTCGATCTTTCATCACGAAGTAGAGGACTTACCTTTCTCCAAGTAAATCAAGCCTCCTCCAGTCAAGCTTACATCGCCCATGGGTACCCAGGCAGTGACACTCGTCGGTTCGCCATGCCGGAGGAAGATCTGATCATAATGCACGCCGATGGCCTTGTTTCCCGGTGTATTGTTGCGCAATAGGCTTCTACGGACACCTAGAGTGTTGTCGCCCCAGTTTGTCATCCGGGCAATGAAGTCTTTCAGCGCAGGGTGCTTGCAAAACGCCTCTTTGTACCAATCTGCATAGTGCGCTTCGAGCGCCAGACTAACGAACTTCTCCGCTGTCGCTTCTCCCGGCTTTCCATTTCCAGGGGCCGCACCAGCTCCAATACCAGGGAAGTCTGCCGCGTCCTTCTCAGGATCGAATATGCCATCCACTGGCTGGGTTCCAGGTTTCAACACGCCGCTCGGTGCGAGCGACTTGAAGTACTCTTCGCGGGCTTTGAGGACATCGCTCCTCGGTAGTAACCCCTTGAGGAAGACATATCCATCTTCGTTGTAACGCTGGCGCAACTCTTCCATAGGCGTTATTGGAGACGACTCCTTCAACTTCCCGACTTGACCTGGTCGGAGCAACCCGTCGTTCACATAGAGTTTTTCGCCATCAAAGCTCGGCACGTCTTGCTCTGGTGATAGTGCATGGGGCATGATGATGTGATGAAGTAGCAGTCGGCTTCGAATTATTTGCACAAGAAGAGACAATATCTAGGTATCCAGCTTATTTTCAAAATCTTCCGGCAACGTAAACGTGGTGTAAACCTATCGCCACTGCCATATCTGTACACGACAGACGAGTGTGCCGGGGAGACTTACCTCTTTCGTCCCTGCCAAGATGTGGGGTAGGAAGCGGGGCTAGTCGCCGCTGTGACACGCTATCTGGATTTTCCGAAGCCGCGGACGCGATCGTCAAAGCCCGTCCTTAGTAACCGGCGAAACATGGTTGGGCACGACTCTGCTCATCTCGGCGGGCATTCCTCGTCCTGGACCCCTTTGTGCATCGTTATCGCGCGTGTCCCAGCTTCGTAAATTAGCCCGCACACGGATCCTTCGCGATTCCACGACTACGTTAAGGTTTATCGCAAATGCCATGGTACGAGACTTCGCATCCTTTGCGCACGACCTGGACATCGCTTAACCGTTCGTAGCAATCGATGCCGCACGCGTCATTATCGATGTAAGCTTTGAGCCTTGAGCTAGTGGTGCCGGCATACTGATGACGTTGCAATAGGTGATGGCAAGCAGCCGGCATGTGCAAGGTGTGCGCAGGCGAAGAAAGAATGCGTCTACGAAAGCGGTAGACGGTTCCGGCGGTCGTCAATCTCGGATTCGTTTAGTGTTGAACAACCTTGGGTGTCGTACCCTCCGCGAAGTGAGCACTTACCCGAGGCTGTTGCATCTGTCGCTGACACGAGTTGGCAGTCCAATTCTTGGACGAATCGAGCGAAATTCGCTCTCAATATGTACAGGATGGCTACTCTCCGTTCGACAGCCCTTCAGTTCATGCGCCATCACCCAGCTGCACCCCTGGAAGTGCGCCGGGTACTGCTTTGACTCCAAACTCAACCTTGTTCACCCCTACGGAAAACCTCACAGTTCTGTCTTTACTGAACTCAGAATCTCCTGTGCAACACCAAGCACCTGCGCCTCCAGCATTACACGGCCACCGAGCAAACACGAGCACATACCAGCCACATCAGGAAGAGGGAGTTAGTACCTTTGTGTATCAACAGCCTCCCGGTGAACCTGTGCTATGGCCGTTAGAGCATGAGCAAGAGGCAATGCTGCTGCAGCACTACATCGAGAATGTCGCCTTATTCGTGAGTACCTTCATCCAGAGAAAGGGCCTTTTACTGACGAACATAAGTTCGACATGGTCGACACCAGAGATCACTTTGGGGTTCACATCGTCCAGATGGCCAAGCAGAATAGTACCCTGATGTATGTAGTGTGTCTACTGCGGATATACGTTGGCAATCGACTGACCACCAATCTCACCCAGGAACGCCATTCTTGCGCTATCTGCTCGTCAGCTTAGTCGCACCACCGATTTCGACCCTTACATCGCAGATGCCTATTATCAGCGATGCTTTGACACGCTGATTCCAGCACTGAACGACAACGTCACCATCAAAGAAGAGCCATTACTTGCTGCGACCGTCATCCTGCGACTCTTGGAAGAGATGAACATCTCAATTATCGGCTCCGATCCCCAAGGCCATCTGTTCGGCACCCAAGCTATAATTCGCGCTGCTGAACAGTCATACGCTGCAACGTCTGGCCCTGATCGGCGGCAGGCTATCTACTGGGCTGCTTTCCGTCAGGAACTGTGGATCTCACTCATGACGCAACGCGCGTTCAAATTACACATCTTCCCCGCTGATCGCTCACTCGAGCCGGCTAATGACTCTATTTGGGCTACACGAACGATTGCTCACCTCGGCGACGTGAGCAACTTCGTCTTTGGGGAAGGTAGAAACAGCATTGCTCGCTACAACCAACTGATGGATGAGAACAGATCCTGGACACAGTGTAGGCCTGACAGCTTCGACCCATACTATTTCCGTCAAGATCGAGATGGTAGCGGGAGAAACTTCCCGGACATTCGCTTCCACCAAAAGACCCACGTTATGGGCACCCAGTATAACCTCTTAGCTCATATGCTGCTGATTGTACATGATCCGACGATTCCACAACTCGGACCAGCACACAAAGCATCACGCGCTATTGTGGATAGAACCGTGCAAGACAACGTACGCACACTATGCGGAGTGGCCCAATCGAACTCCAAATGGTTTCCTTGCAAGTTTGTTGCCTGCTTCGCGATCGCATTAGGTAAGCTTATTCCGATTCCCTAACGCGACTATGACGAGGAGTAGTCGTGTGTAACATTAATATTGCTTCTATATCTAACATTCCCAGTCGGCGATCGCTTCACGATTCGTGAGGATCAAGAACAGCTTCGCGATCTATGGTATGCCTGTGAACGATCGCATGGCTTTCCTCCCACAGCGACCATCAACCAACTCGAAGAGTCGTGGGGTTGGCACAACTCTTGAAATACATGATGCGGCTATCTCCGACGGCTTCAGCTACCTTATCACGCCTTTGGAATCATCATAAACCCTAGTTGAATGCATTCATGCGCCTCGGGTCGAAATTACCGGGCATATAAGGCCCAAATCCCATTCCGGAGTCGAACTGGTCCAGCTCATCTTCATCGAATCCCGCTCCGTAGAATGGCATTGGGTTGCCATGGTCACCTGTATGTCCGGGACGAGCCGGGCCCTCCCACTTCGTGAAATGATGCTTTGGTCTGCGATGTCCCGCTGGCGGCTTCCCATTGTCGTGCTCTTCGGCTAGATCGTAGACTCTATGCAGTCGTTTGTCGACAGGAAGCCGTTCCCTTGTTTTCGCATATTCAGCCTTGATGTTCAACAACAGGGGATATATGCGCACCCGCTCTACAAAGTCTTTCTCTAGAGCTTTCTTCAATATGCTACTGAGTTCTCTGGTATAGCTGGAGCCTGCCGGTTGTTCTTTGTCCCATCTTTGACCATGAGGGAACTCTTTGCTTCGTGGCCCTACGATTCCGGTACATGCGCAGACCATACTCAAGCCTAGTTGCCAGACATCTGAAGCGCCGCTGAAGAGTGGAAATTCTGGAGCGTCGAAACCAGGCGTCCCCCCTGGTTCCATTATGGCGCGTTCTATACTACGCTCAAGCGACATATAGTCTTCAGTTACTGCTAATCCAAAGTCGGCAAGCTTCGCTATAACTGTATCACCTTCCATCGTCAGTAGGATGTTCGCAGGCTTGATGTCGCGATGATATATTTTACTCCAACCGGACTGGAATATCTCGTCATCGGTCATATTTGGCTGCGGGCCACGGTGACAGTACGTAAGGGCAGAAGACAGTTCAAAGAACCATCTCCATATCTTATGTTCGTTGACGTGGGCGCCCATAGCAACGTTGAGCGCGACGTCTGCCAGGTTGCCTACCGTACAATACTCCAGATACACAGCTCCGTCTGGTTTGCGCTTATCGAAAAAGTGGTCCACCATCTTAGTAATGTTCTCGTGGTCCTGGACCTGGTGCAAAATCTGGATTTCTTTGCGCGGTACATCGTTCTCGAACGCGTCTTTGTTGAAGCGCTTCTCAATGAATACCATACCCCGAGCTTTTGGATTACTACATTGGACTTTGCTTATGCCGCCGTTCAGACCTCCGCCCATGCTACCGAGCTTCTGGATTACTGTCCATATTTCTCTCGGTTTTGGTTGATAGGTTACGGATAGCTTCTTGCAAATTTTGGGCATCGCAGTCCCAAGATACCGCCGTTAGTGTGGAATGTTTAGGAATGTGGTCAACGATGGGTCCAGGGAAATTTTGGTTAACGTTGTGGAAGATAGCAAAATGCAGGTTCAACGGACTCATTCTCTTGTTTGAGTAGCCTGCGATCGGTCTCAGCGATCGGTCTCAGCGATCGTTTTATCACGATAGCCCTTCCATTGTTGTTTCAAAGACGGAAAGTGCTGCATCATGCTTTTGTGATGCTGGGTATGTAACCTAGGATCCAAAAGTACCCCTGTCATGCCGATTTGTAAATTGACCAGGATGCAATGCGCGTCTCGTGGTTCATATCTGTCTCGCTGATGACTCTTCATGTGACGTGGTATCTTCAAGCATAGCAAACCTTTCTACTTTTAATAGTGAGAAGATCACTGCCTCTAGTCACATAGTCAGCAAGGCCATCATCATCATCATCATCTCGTAACAACTGTACCGCAACATCTCATCGAATGTCACGGAATCTAAGATCTCGTGGGCGTGGTCGAGGGAAAGAACCCATCACAGATGACCCAATGGATCTTGATTACTCGCCAGACGATGTGGAGATGCAGGACCCGCCGCCAGAGGCTCTGTCGCGCCTCAGACCTCGAAAGCCTCCATCTTCGCAAGCTGTGACTACGGAAGAGTCGCCATTCTGGACAGACCCTTCACACAGAACGCCCTTGCCCGAAAGCTCGCCCCCTCCAGCGCCTCCAAGATTGAAGCAACCCATGACATTAAAATTTCGGAATGATCATGTTGGCCAGCCTCCCGGTTTTGTTCGTGGAACAGCTCCTCTTGTGCGCGAGACTGGCGAGGAACGCTGGAAAAATGGTGTACTAAGCGGCAGCGCACTGATCCGGATGCTGGAAGATCTATCGCGCAGCACCAAACGCGAACACTGGCAGATGTGTGTCTTGCTAGATGGCTTCGCCGCAAAGTTTGGTCGCTTCCACACCCCGGATGGTCTCATAGTGGCGGATGCATATGAGACGTACATGCTCATGCTCGCACGTAAAGTTTGGGTTGATCACACAGGCGAATTTGCTGGGGGAGATGTTCTCTGGGTACCCGGACTAGAACCTAGAGCCATCACCGATCCGGACTGGGAAGCCAGCGCAAGGCAAAACTTACCGGAGTTACCTATCAAACATTACCAGCCGCCTTGGTTGGCGGCGGAGAATCAGTACATGCACCGCGTTATGCAACGGCCACAAAAGGGGGAGATTGTCTACAAGGGCTGGGTTGATGACATGAAATGGGAAAGAGACATCCGAGAGGGGGAGAAAATTGATCAAGGCACGCCCAGCGACGACCCTGTTGTTTCCACATCAAATACAGAATGAAGGGTAGCAGGCGTCAATACTTCCAGGGGTCAGTAGCAGGCCGTTCCGTTTTGGCCAAGGCAGCAACCAGTTGAAGGTACACCAATAACGAGAATGCTTTAGGTAGTCGTAGAAATGTGACTTTACAACATGTAGTCAACGGTGAATGTGAACAGCTACGTCGATCAATACCTGGGTGGTCGCGCGGAAGAGACACGCGATCATGACGTCATCATTCTGGAGTTGCACTAGGCTTCTTAGGGATGAACATCAACGAAATGCTCTACACTTCTGCACAGCAGCTCAGTCCACTCTGCCTTGCACAGGTGTTGTAGCTACCGCAAGACTGATGAGGAGATGAGAAGAAAAGTCATGCGCTCTCGCTCACAGATCTAGCGCAAGGTGTCCAGCGTGGGCACACAGAAATCTTGGGAAGGGCCGCCGAGATCCCGACCGGAAAACGAGCATCAACTCAACGCGAAAGTCAAATACTGCACCTGCAGTAGGAGTATCATCGGCTGCATGACTTCAGTCCATCGATTAGGCGAAGACAGCCGTCTTCGCTGGCCTGTATGCGACCTCCAGTCAGCTGCACCTGCACCTGCACCTGCGAGCTCACCGTTCTTCCAGACCCCCCCCCATCCTCTTTGTTCTACAACGACGCATTGTGATCACCGCTGCAGCGTAAAACTATCAACTTGCTAATTCCTTCATCTCCCCCCTTATGCATCATCTGCTATTTTCAAACATTTGTTGATCGTTCCGGCCCGCGTGCATCTGACGTGCGTTTGCACAGCCTCAATTCCGGGTTGGCGGGCATAGCAAACCACAACTCTTGGTAGCGGCGACAGCGACCGTGCCTCTGTTCCGCGTAACGTTGCGCTTAGGCTTGCACATGCTCATGCAGCGGAATGGTCGTTCGGCGCAGAGGCGGGAGTGTTACCTGAAAAGGGAATGGCGAGAGAGTAGCGGTGATAGTGTGGTGCTTTGCCTACAGCAAGGCATGGTGTGTAGTATTGCCACTTGAACACTCACTGGCTATACTGTACTTTTCGGTGATTAGAACCTCATTGATACATTATGCAGTCGAAGTGCTGGGTCGAGATCTTGGCCCGCTGGGTATGCTACAGCATACAACGTGCGCATGATAAGCTTTTCCGCCCCCAAACTCCCCGCATCTACTTTGCTTTCTTTCGAGACTTACGTGCATTTTAGTGGGTCCTCAGGTACTTCCGTGTTACCATTGACGTGGTCAGTGATGTGTAGACTGGTCAGTTGACTACGCGCAGTTGTAGGAATGTACCATACATGATTTCCAAGCCTTCGTTTTCTCACAGCATGCGGAACCTAGTAATGTGACGGTACCTAGATCAGCCCTCAAAACGTGGCATGGAAAGGGTGTGACTCAGAACTTCAATGATTGGGCAGCCTTCAAAAGTACGTATTACCGACCATGTTCATGCCGCTCTCTTGTCATGCGGGATAATAACCGGCCAGGTACATCACGCAGTCAATTTTTCGATCCGCACGAGGCTGTCCGCAAGGCATATTTCCATGTCTTTGTCACATCTCACATAGCTGTCCGGATCTCTACTGAACAATGTTCAATTTGCTTACAGCGAAGTGACAATGTCAAACATGCTAGGCGTGAAGGGATGTACTATGGGTGACTACTCAATTCAATTTACGTGTGCTAGCGCGATACCCGCCCGGAGACACCTGTCCAACAGTATTGACCATGTTCCCTATCGTGACTATCAGCTACACCGGTATTCACTTTGGAAATTGCATCCATGCAAATTACTCTTTCGTACCCATGATGTCAATCAATGTAGGGGCCGAAATACCTTTGCGGTAAATATCTGACCCTTCCAAGTTCTATTGGCGTGACACCAATGTAGGCAATACATATAATCGAACGATAGACCGGCCCGGGACAGGCGATCGCGGGGGCGGTGCCGCAACGCTGCATCATCCCCATGACTGCAGCAGTCATGCGTATATGGTTCACTTCGATACCAATACGGGTGAATATATCAGAATCAGGTATCATGAACGATGGGCCGGAGCTGAATGCAGCCTAGATATCGTTTGGCCCATCGAAAAGCCGGCCATGCGGAGTAGTGAGTCCAGATTTGGGTCTGAAGCCTATATCTCACATGCCTTCGCGAAGGCTGACGAGATTAACATTCGCATGCGGAAGGAACGTGGACTTTGATGTTATGCAATATATTTGGTTTGATTTGTTCGGATGACCTCTTTCTCGATCGTCGTATTCATCTTCGCGTACCCCTCCACCTCGCTTCTAGCTCGCGAGCCCTTGCTGACGCTTCTTGTCTCTTTTTCGCTGCCATTTCCGCCTGGCTTTGTTGATAGTCCGGAAGTTCATCATCGGATC